CCACTGCACTCCAGTCTGGGCGACAGAGTGAGACTCCAACTCAAAAAAATATATATATATGTTTACATAAAAACCTATATATTAATGACTATAGCAGCATTATGCATAGTAGCCAAAAGTAGAAACAACCTGTCAGCTGATGAATGGATAAACATAGCGTGACAATGGAATATTATTCCACGATCAGAAGCGGTAAAGTATTAAATGCCACAACTTAGCTGAACCTTGAAAACATACTAAGTGTAAGAAGCCAAACTGTATGGCACTGTTGATATGAACTGTCCAGAATAGGAAAATCCATAGAGAGAAATTGTATTAGTGGTTGCCACAGGCTGAGGAGAAGGGCAGTGGGAGTCACTGCTGGTAGGTACAGAGTTTTTTGGGAATTTAATGAAAATATTCTGGAATTAATAGTGGTGATGGTTGCAAACTTTGCAAATATATTAAAAACCACTGAATTGTACACTTTAAGCTGTTAAGTTCACGGTATATGAATTATCTCAATTTGTTTATTTTTAAATTTTACTTATTCTTTTTGAGTTGGAGTCTCACTGTTGCCCAGGCTGGAGTATAGTGGCACGCTCACAGCCACCACAGCCTTGACCTGCTGGGCTCAGGCGATCCTTCTGCCTCAGCCTTTCAAGTACCTGGAACTACGGGTGCACACCCCCATGCCTACCTAATTTTTTGATTTATTGTAGAGACAAGCTTTCGCCAAGTTTCCCAGTCTGGTCTTGAACCCTGGGCTCAGGCATTCCTCTTACCTTAGCCTCTGAAAGTACTGGGATTACAGATGTGAGCTACTGCGCGCAGCTGAATTATTTCAGTTTTAAAAAGGAATGGGAAGGCTTTTAGTTTTTGGACCTCAGCCTTGCTACTTGTTAGCTATGACTTGCCCAAGTTAACTTTTCATTGCCTCAAGTTTTCTTATCTGTAAAATATGTTTAATAGTTGTACACTCTTCACAGGATTGTTGTAAAATCACACATAAAGGTTCGTAGCATAGTGTCTTGCAAACAGGAAGCCCTTGGAAATGTTAGCTGTTACTCAGTGAGTATTAATATTTCCAGTTTCAGCATGACCAAACATTGCCAATTCTGATGGACTTTTATAAGAATTTTGTGTAGGTTGGGCTCGGTGTCTCAGCTTGTAATCCCAGCACTTTGGGAGGCCGAGGTGAGTGGACTGCCAGAGCCTGTGGGTTCAGGACCAGCCCAGGCAACTCGACAAAACCTAGACTCTACAATAAATCAAAAATTAGCCATGTGTGATATCATGCTCCTGTAGTTCTGGCTACTTGGAAGGCTGAGGTGGAAGGATCACTGGAGCCCAACAGGTTGATGCTGGGGTGGCCGTGAGCATACCACTGCACTCCAGCCTGAGTGACAGAATGAGACTCTAACTCAGAAAGAATCTTGTGTAAAATGTTTAATATTTGGTACCTGGAGTCAGAGTGTGCCTCCAATCTAACTTTTGATTTATATATGAAATACAAATAAAATGTTGCTTTGAAGTATTAACCTTTCACACTTTTTCACGTGTGTTATTTATGCATACCGATCTAAACAGCTGTATGCTTCACTTTTAAACTTATACTTAGCCTGAAGTGCTTATTGATTAATGATAATGACTTTCTACATTGAACACGTTTCATGATATTGTTTAATTGAAATGTAAGGAAATAGAATTAAAAGTATTTTACACCTGAGGCATTTTGTAATTCATTATTAAACTCTGCTTTCCAATTTTATTGATGATTTCACTGTCAGTTTAAAGTATATTTTTAATTGATACAGATTCAGCGTTTATTGGAAGCACAGTCTCTGAAGCCCTGTTCCCCTAAGACAACCACTGTTGAAGACACAGTGCAAGCTACAAGACAAACAGAGTTGGTTTCCATGGAAGCAGAGTCTTCCCCTGGCTTGCATCTGAGAAAAAGTGTTAGCATTGCTGTGAGCACAGGTAACTTCATTTTTTTTTTTTTTAATTTGTAAGGAAATTTTAAAAATGCTTTCTAAATCTGCTTTTTGAATTTTTACATTCAAATTGGTACATAGTACAATAGGACCAAAACCAGGGTGATCAAAGTTTAACTTAAATCTCTGTGTAATTTACTTTTTTGTTTAAATTGGAGTTTCACTCTCATCCAAGATGGAGTGGGGTGGTGCAATCATGGCTCACTGCAGCCTCGACCTCTTGGGTTCAAGTGATCCTTCTGCCTCAGCCTCCTAAGTAGTTGATACTTACAGGCACACATCATCATGCCTGGCTAATTTATTTTTATTTTTTGTGGAGATAAGATCTTGCTATGTTCCCTAGGCTGATCTCGAACTCCTAGCCTCGAGCAGTCCTCCTGCCTCGGCTTCCCAAAGAGCTGAGATTACAGGTGTGAGCCACCATATCTGGCTGTAATTTTGCTCTTTATGAATTAACTACACCTGAAAACAGATATGAAACTGCATAATATATGCTATTTGATTTTGCTACTTTTCTAGGCTAGACCTAATTCTAATGAGAAAAACCATCTTGGTTTGAGGGATCAGAGAGGGTTGTTGTATTATTGAGTCTGGTCCTTGAAAGCTATGTAGGATTTTCAGTAGAGGTTAAGTTGATGGGCGGGAGAACAGATTGGATAGAGAAAATAGTATGGGCTCAGTGATTAGTTTTGGTGGTGATAAGAATGAATAAGAAAGGTCACATAGGATACTGATGAGATTCATAGCTAATTGGATGTAGCAGTAGTTGAGGAAGAATGAAAACTGAAGTTACTCCAGTTAACTGTATCCTGAATTGGCTCCTAAAGCAGAAAAAGGACATTAGTGGAAAATTTGGTAAAGTCCAAATAAAGCCTAGAGTTTGGTTAATAATGTATTATGCTGGTTTCTTTTTTTTTTTTTGAATTGGAGTCTCACTCTGTCGCCCAGACTGGAGTGCAATGGCCACTCCCGGCCACCGCAGCCTCGACCTGCTGGGCTCCAGCGATCCTTCCGCCTCAGCCTTCCGAGTAGCCGGAATTACAGGCATGCGCTACCACGCCCGGCTAATTTTTTAATTTATTGTAGAAATGAGGTCTCACCTGCCCAGGCGGGTCTCGAACCCACAGGCTCAGGCAATCCACTCACCTCAGCCTCCCAAAGGCGCGGGATTACAGGCTGAGCCACCAAGTCCAGCTATGTTGGTTTCTTGATTTTGACATATTGGTAATGTAAGATGTTAACATCAGGGGAAACTAGAAGCAGGGCATACAGGGACTCTATTATCTTAGCTGTAAATCTAGAATTTTACCAAAATTAAGTTTATTAATTTTAAGCCTAGAGGACGAGGGAATGGTGGTAGCATTAAACAGAAGGAGGTAAGTTAGAGAAGGAGGAGAGAGGATGAAATCAGTCTAAATATCTGTTGAGACAGTAATACTTAAGGAAATGTGGATAGAGAAACTTATATGATAGAATAGGAGTGCAGGTAGGTTGATGACATAGACCTGCAGATGCAGAAGCGACAAATGAAGATTTGAGACTGGAGAATAAAAATTTAAGAGCGAAAATAAAGAGGGATGACGAAGTTCTATATTCCTTTTCTGAACCTGTATAATAGCTAAACTATCCATACAGAGGAGAGCCAGGAGGGAAGGTAGCAAAAATCACATGCACATTTGTAAGTCATATCAGGTACTATTCAGTATTAGTTAAAATTCTTTGACTGCAAGTAACATAAACCATTTTGAACTAATTTAAGCAAGGACAAGGAACTTACTGGGAGGGTATAGGGATATGTTTCCTAGAAACCAAGGCCAAGAATGGAGCTGGACTCAGGAAAAGGCTGTAACTAGAGACTGGAATACCATTAGGACTTTCCAGTTTTTCTACAGTTTTTCTACATGACTGTGCTTCTCAGTTCTGCATTCTGGCTTTCACTGCTTTTCTTTTTAAAATATGACTAACCTAGAGCTTGTGTTATATAAACTAAGTGTGTGTTACACGGTTGTAGTCACATATACAAACCATTTTACTGTCCCTCAGTCCCAGTTTCAAATTGCAGAGAACTTGAATGACCTGGTTCAGACTAGGTTTTCATCCCTGGGTTCAATGGGAAAGGGATTGAGAAACCCATAACAGGACCATATCTGCTACAGTTCCATCTTTGTGGATTTCAGGGTTGATTGTTCCCAGGGAAAAGTGTGTGGTGTGTCTGTATAGTGGAGGGGTGATGGTGAAGGATCTTGTGGGTACTGTGAGTTAAGTAAACATGCCAAAAAAACACAGTATCCTATGTCCTCTTGTAAAATTCTGTATATATTGTACTGTAGTTGTTTATCATCTGTATCATTAGACTAAGCCTTTGGGACTTGGAACACAGCTTGCTCACTAATGTATCTCATTTTCTAACATGCCTGAAACATAATCTGTGCTGGGTAAATAATTGGTGGTTAAAGTAATTCACATGTTTGAATTGATAGTCTGAAATTTTTTAAAACAAGTTTTCAAACATATGTACAATTAGAATATTTAAAACTTAATGGATTTATATATAGTTATTACTTATATGCAGAAAAATGAATTATTTATAGTCATTTGAACTAAATGATGTTTAGAAGCACACTTATTCTATAATGTGCATAACACCCTAAAGATACATATTGATATGTATTCAAGAAAAGTAGCAGAACCTATGTACCGTGTTCAAAATTATCCGTTAAAAAAAAGTAGTGAATACAAAATTAATTTGTTAAAAAATTAATTAACTTTTATTAACTTATTTTTATAAAATCACCCATGGATACCCACAAAGTAAAAACCATCTTGAGTAGGATTTACTTTATGGTTTGGATCATTTCCTTAAACTATTTTATATATAGCAGTATTGTCCAAGTTGCAGAATATATACAGCTCATGGTATAAAAGATGATTTAATGTATACAGATGAATATGTAGATGTACTTATTCTTGTAATGGAAAAAATTTAACAAGCACATCAAATCTACAATTTCACAGAAATGATGAGATTCAGCAAAAACAGTTAATTTATAGAAAAATAGTATGCAAATAATATTACATGCAAATAACTTTGAAAATAAAAGTGATTCATAAAAATTGAGAAACATTTGATTTTTAAATAGCTGCCTGATATTGCATATGTCTGATGCATCCCCAATATAGTCTCTTAAATACTGTATTTAGAGATCAAAACCAAAGAATTTAAGGATTTGTATTTTATATATTACCTCCTGTTATTTGGAGCAGCAGTTTTCAACATACAGACCTCGTCTCACAAACCATAGTCAGATCCTTAATGTATGAAGCAGATAACTTCAGAACCACTCCTCTTGAAGAGGTAGGGCACAGAATGTCCCTATTCCCTTTGCCCCTCACTTCCCAGTTTTCTTTATTTTTACCTTTCACCTACTTCTTTGTGGCATTTCTGAGAAAATGACCTAAACACAGCCCTAATTAGTTGTGTTAACGATAATATAGCTCTCCCCCGACTTTTTTTTGTTTTTCAGTTGGAGTCTCACTCCATTGCCCCGGCTGGAGTGCAGTGGCACACTCACGGCCACCCCAGCGTTGAGCTGCTGGGCTCAGGCAATCCTTCCGTCTCATCCTTCCAAGTAACCAGAACTACAGGTGCATGCTACCACGCCGGGCTAATTTTTTTGTTGTTGTTAATTGTAGAGATGAGGTCTCGCAAAGCTGCGCAGGCTCTTCTCAAATGCATAGGCTCAGACAATCCCCTCACCTCAGTCTCTCAAAGTACTGGGATTACAGGTTTGAGCCACTGCACCCGGCCCCTTTTTTTTTTTTTTGGAGTGTAAGTCTCACTCTGTCACCCCAGGCTGGAGTATCATGGCACGCTCATGGCCACCGCAGCCTTGACCTGCTGGGCTCAGATGATTCTTGCGCCTCAGCCTTCCAAGTAGCAGGAACCACAGACCTGGCTAATTTAAAAATTTATTGCATATCCAAATTGCCCAGGCTGGTCTCAAACCCATGGGCTCAAACCTCTGGGCTCAGGCAGTCCTCTGCTTCCGGCTCCCAAAGTTCTGGGATTACAGGCGTGAGCCACTCCGCCTAGCATATAGCTATTTTTAAGGAAGGTTTGTCAGAGTATATATTATAGTTGAATATTTGTTTCAGTAACTGTAAAATTATTTAACCTCTAGGTGCTAGCTTGTTTTGGAATGCAGCGGGTGATGATCAAGAGCTAAAGCAAGATGATACCAAGATTTCCAGTGAGGATATGAATTTTTCTGTTGATATTAATAATGAAGTCACAAGTCCTCCAGGTAGTGCGTCTTCATTAAAAGCAGTTGATATTCCCAGTTTTGAAGAGAGCAACATTGCTATGGAAGAATTTAATCAGCCACTTTCTGTATCCAGGTGAGGCCAGTTTGATTCAATATTTCATCCTACTTTTTTACAAAACAAATTCTTTTTAATGGGCAAATAATAATTGTATGTATTTATGGGGTACAATGTGATGTTTTGATACATGTTTACAAGGTAGAGACATTAAATCAGACTAACAAATCTATTACCTTACATATTTAACTTTTTTTGTGGTGAAAACATTTTATACTTCTTTTAGCAGTTTTGAGATATATAATGCTTTATTATTATAGTCACCATTCTATGCAATCTTTTTACTTTTTGAATTCTAGTTCTTTTTGATCTTCTACCTTTCTCTAAATGGTATTTTCTTTTTTATTTTTACTTGGTGTGGTTTCTATGTAGCTGACAACTCTGAGCCTTCTAGAATCATTCCCAGATGTCATTCATTGGATATGTTAATAGTCTGGCTGAATCAGAACATCTGAAGAAAACCTCAGAAGTACATATGCTCAAGCATCATTCTGTAGTTTCTGATAATACTAGATTCCACATGGAGACAGGGCCCAGAATTTAAGGACAGCGAAGGAAGCCATCTCTGAGGGGGTGATATCTGAGCCATGAGATAAATGATGAGAAGGAGCCAGTCACAAGAGTATCTGGGGAAAGTACTCCAGTGGACAAAATGGCAAGGGTAGAGACCCTGAGGTATGTGCGAGCTTTGCAGTTTCAGAAACAAGCAGGAAAACGAATGTGGTTGGACATAGTGACTGAGGGGGTAGTATAGGAAATGACTTCAGAGATATAGGCAGGAGCCAAACTAGGTAGGGCTTTGTAGGATAGAGAAAAGAGTCTTGAATTTATTCCGTGCTCATTAAAGCCACTGGAGGATTTTAAACAATGGAGTGATATGATCTGATTTTCATTTTTTGAAGGCCATTCTAGTTGTTTTGTGGAGAACTAAAGGGCATTAAGAATGGAAGTTGGGATACTGGTTAGTAAGACTAAAGACCAGGTGAGAGGAACGTGCTTTGGACTTGTGGTAGAGATGGTGGAGGGGATCAGGTATAGGGTAAATTTTGAAGATAAAAGAATAAGGCAGCTATAAAACAGCTCGGGATAGTGTCACATGAAACAGTTTAAGGAAGTGAGCTTGAAGCTTGAGACCAGGCTGAACAACACAGTGAGACTTTATTACTAAAAAAAAAATTTTTTTTAATTACCTGGACATGATGGTGCATGCCTGTAGTCCTAGCTACTCGGGAGGCTGAGGCAGGAGGAGGATCGCTTAAGGATGCAGTAAGCTATAATGACACTGCATTCCAGCTTTGGCAACAGAGTGAGACCTCATCTCTTTAACAAAATAAAATAGAGGTGCACTTGCTGGTGAGGTGGCATGAGGCAAGCAGGCTGTTACTTTTTTGATAATATTTGACATCTTGAATTATTCTGATTACAATAGTAGTTAAAACAATAAACACAACTTTCAGAAAACTATCTCCTTTAGTATATGCTATAATCATTCAGTTCAATTAAGTACTCATTGTATATACCGCAATATATTGAAAAGATCTTCTGTGCATGTTAGATTGAGTACCTTCAGGATAGGGATCATTTCTGTATCTTTAGAACTTGACTCAGGGTCTGGTTCCCAATGTTAGCTTCTTTACAAATGTTTACTGATAAGAAAAGCAATTTGGGGTGTGCCACAGGGTGAGCCCACAGTTTATTTGGAATGACTGTAGAAACTGAGGACAGAGAGGAAACAACTATGGTTATTCTTATTTATCTTCCTTAATTTAATTCTATAAACCACAGACTACTTTCTAGAATTATAGGGGTTTTCATGTTAGAATGTTAAAAATCTCCAGTTTGTTGTGGTTTTTAACTTCAGAAACAGATCTGAGTTGAGAAAACAAAGTTAATTGCTTTTTCAGAGCAATTAATTAGCTCCATTGATTCAAACACATAACTAGCTGTAAAGCTAATCTTTGTTCAGCAGAATGTATTGATTTAGAGTAAATACTGTCTCTAATGTTGTCCATGGTGGTTTTGGTGCTTCTGTAGGATCCTGCTCAAATATCTGGTTTGATTTCATGCTGAGGTTACCCCTGCTGAGTATTCATAGATGATAACTAACTACCTAGGCTCCCAGTCTACCTTGAACATCTTATTGGATCAATCTTTTTGATGTTGAAGCAGTCTGTGAAAGACAAATTCATTTGCTTGCAGCTTATTTGGTTATTGATTGCTTTTTCCCAGTAGTGAGTAGTGGTATGAGTATTTACAGAGATTTTCTGTTAAAATTATCTTCATTTTTAAAAATTTTATTTTTGAGTTGGGGTCTTACTCTGTTGCCTAGGCTGGAGTGCAGTGGCACAATCACGGCTTACCACAGCCTTAGCCTCCTGAGCTCAGATGATCCTTCTACCTCTGTCTCCCAAGTAGTTGTGACTGCAGGCGCATGTCACCATGCCTGGCTAATTTTTTTGGTTTTTGTATAGATAAGGTCTCACTCTGTTGCCCAGGCTGGTCTTGAACTCTTGGACTCAGCTTCCCCAAGTACTGGGATTACAGATGTGAGCCACCACACCCGGCCTATGATCTTTATTTTTCTTTAGAAGCCATGCTTTGGATATACCTAATAATACTTAGCATCTTTTAAAAGTTTGTGTTAAATCTTTTGAGGTTTGAAATCTTTAATATTTTGGTTCTGTTCTTTCAGTTTTTGTTTTGGCTTCCCAGGTTATACACCAAGAGAGAGATTTTTAAATCCTTGAACATATAGTATAGCAGAGTGATTAGGGGTATGGGTTCTGGTATCAGACTGCCTAGTTTTGAATCACAGCAGTCTGACCTTGGGCAGTTCTTGCAATCTCTTTGTGACTCTGTTTTCTCATCTATAAAATGGGAATAATAAAAGTGCCTATTTCATAAGATTGTTGTGAGATTGAAGTGAGCTTATTCAGAGGGTGCCAAAAAAATGTACACACATCTTAAGAAAGGAAAAAACTATTAAAATTGTACTACTCAATATATATCAATAACAAAAGATGAATACAAGTCACATTTGACTTTTGCAATTACAAGAGGTGCTCAGTGGTTACCACTAGTACACAGACACTTCTGATTAAGGCAAACTAAAAGTAATACATAGATAACATCTCTGAAAATGTACATACTTTTTTTTGGCACTCCCAGTATATGTAAAGCACTTAGAACAGTGTCTTAGTACCTCATAACTGCTATCATTTAGCTAAAACTGGAATAAGGCAAACTCAGTGACTGACATGGACCTTCCTTGAAAATAAAGTGTTTTGCAAATATTTGTACAACAAAGTCCTGCTCAATGCAAGTTTGTTTTTTTTAATTTTGCAATTATAGAGATGTGAGGTACAAGTGAGTGTTAACTACATAATAGACTGAAAGCAGGTGAAGTTTGGACTTCTAACTGGCCCTCACTCCACCTGGTAGTAGACCAGGTACCTCTCGTGTTGTTATGTGCCCCTCACCCTCCTTCCCCCTCCCTCTCTTCCTGAGCATTTCCCAGCAAATGCTGATCCCTCCCTTGTGCTAATGACTCGTGTTCACAAACCACTTATAAGTGAGAACATGTAGTATTCAGTTCTTTGTTTCTGTGATACATCACTTAGTATGATGGTCTCCAGCTCCATCCATTTTGCTACAGAGTCCATGATTTTGTTCTTTATGTCAGCGAAATACTCCATTGTGTATATGTACCACATTTTCTTTATCCAGTCCACTTTCAATGGGCAGCAGGATTGGTTCCATGTTTTTGCTATTGTGAATAGTGCGGCAAATAAACATGCGTATGCAGGTGTCTTTTTTGTAGCGTGATGTATGTTTCTCCAGGTATCTTCATTGGAAGATCAATGTTTAGTTCTTTTAGGAATCACCATACTGTTTTCCATAGAGATTGAACTAGCTTGCACTCCCACCAACAGTGTAGAGGCATTCTCTTTTCTCCACACCTGTGACAGCATCTGTTGGTGTTTTTTTTTTTTGAATTGGAGTCTCACTCCGTCACCCAGACTGGAGTGCAGTGGCTGCTCCCAGCCACCGCAGCCTCGACCTGCTGGGCTCCAGTGATCCTTCTGTCTCAGCCTTCCAAGTAGCTGGAACTATAGATGCGCACTACCACGCCCGGCTAATTTTTTGATTTATTGTAGAGATGAGGTCGCCAAGTTGCCCAGGCGGGTCTTGAACCCACGGACTCAGGCAATCCACTCACCTCAGCCTCCCAAAGCGTGGGATTACAGGCTGAGCCACCGAGCCCGGCCTGGTTTTTGACTTAATAGCCTTACCAGAGTTAGGTGGTATCTCATTGTGGTTTTGGTTTGCATCTCTCTGATGATTAATGAAGCTGGGTATTTTTTCATGTATCTGTTGGTTGCTTGTATGTCATCTTTTGAGAAGCGTCTCTTCATGTCCATTGCCCACTTTTTTAATGGGGTTGTTTTTTCCCTTTTACTTCGTTTGGGTTCCTTGTAGATCTGGATATTAGTCGTTTGTCAAGTTTTTTTAAAGAGCCATAAAATTTCTAAAGGTTGGATTTATGCTTCTTCATTTGAGTGTTTCATTAAAGTGAAATTAGTTAAAATGATTGAAGATAAAGGTACAATGTGATGTCTGGGACAGGGAAGAAGCAGCAATATATACTGTTCTGGGCATTTTGTATCTCTGTTAATCCTGTCTCATTTTTTTCAAGCCAAGGAAGTAGATATTGTTTTCCCTATTTTGTAGATGAGGAAACTGAGGCCCAGAGAGATACAGTAATTTTCCCAAGACATGATGAACACACAGATAACTGTAATATAAATGAGAATATATGCAACATAAGACATGCAAAGAAGGTGATAATGGGGGTTAAAAAAACAAGAGAACATATTCTGTTAGGGTTTTAGAACAATGACACAGAAGAAGCATACTTTTAAAATGACTCTTGAAGAGTGGATAGGATTTTAACTAGAGAAAAGGCAGTTAAAAGGCCAATTAACGGTAGTAGGGCAGTACTTCTTGACTCCATAGCA